GGGGTCGTGGAGGGTGAAGAGTGACCCCGGAGCCCAATGACGCGCAGAGCCTGTGAATAATCATCAGATGGATATCGGCTGCCGATGGACAGCGGAGGGGGACGCGGCCCAACGCCTACCACAAAATACCCTCTGGTAGAGACAGTCTTTTAGGGACTGTCTAAAGAGGAAAATAAAAATGTAGGACGGTATTGAGGAATTAAATTATTTTGCTGTCGTGTTTCGTAGATCCCGCGGCTCCGCCCGCGACAGCTATGCGAGTCACGTTGCCGCGCTCATCACGGTGGGGCGGTTAGCAGGCTGGCTGATCGGCGCATGGCTGGGGCGCGCCGGGGCTTGGCGGAAGGGCAAACGTCTGTCGGTCGGAAGGAGGTGCGGCAGGCAGGTGCTGCGGCCCGCGCCCGCATCCCACCCCCCAAGTGGTGCGTAGAGTGCGTGCAGCGAATGCTACACCCCCCGGGCCTGCTCTGTAGTATTGCATCCGCCCAGGAGGCGCGCAGCGCAGACCGCGGGCAGGTGGTGACGAAGCTACTGAAAAGAGCAATCTGTAGGGCGCAGCCGCGTTAGGGATTTTTGAATACCTGTTGACGTTTTTCGGGGGAAATTTTTCAAGACTTTTCTCTTAATTCCTGAAATTTCTTGTAGAAGTTTTATATGTTCCCGATGTTTTTCTTGGAAATATTCCACATTTTTCCATTTTTTTAGTCTGCAAGTTTCAAAGTTTCAAACTTTTTTTTTTTTGGACAAATTTCAAATATTTGAAGTTCCTAGTACTGCCTATTCACCCCCTCTCCCGCACAATTTTCCAACTCCCTTCTCTGGAAACTCAGGTGTGAGACAGTCTAACACCAAATGGAGTTAGGCAAAATACCTCACACCAAACGGTGTGAGGCAAACATACCTCACACCAAATGGTGTGAGACTCGTTGTGCCTCACACCAAATGGAGTGATACTTTCTCATACCAAATGGTGTGAGACACAGAGGGTCTCACACCATTTGGTGTCATACCAAATGGTGTGAGACACAGAGGGTCTCACACCATTTGGTGTGAGGCACAACTAGTCTCACGCCATTTGGTGTGAGGTATTTCGCCTAACACCATTTGGTGTTAGACTGTCTCACACCCGAGTTTCCAGAGAATTCCCTCTCCTTCCTTCCTTCCTTCCACCCCGCTGGCCGCGCCACACCTTGTAGTAACACGCCCTTCGCACCACCCTCTTCCGGACGACTTCCATCTCCGCCACACGGCAGCCGCCACCGGGGCCCTACTCCATTGTCTCTCATTGCTTTTCATCCTGCTCGATATGGCTATATGGCTCTCCCCTTTTACCATACATTTTCCCCCCTTTCGCCGGCAGTAGGCCCGCCACGCACCAAAAGCGATCGCAAAGGCATGGTGGGGAACAAGAAAAAAAAAAGGAACGAAATAAGTGGGCGTGTGAAGAGTGTGAGATTAGACGGTGGCGCTTTTTCAGGAGAGCAAAAAAGAAACGGATGGAGAATGGGCGAGGCGAGAACGAGAAAAGTGGCGCTGGGAAAAAAGAGGGAGGAAAATAAAAAATCTCCCCCGGCCCATGGCCAACCTACCCTCGCGCCCATGCGATGGCACGCGCATCTGCGCTATCAAATTAGTCCACAATTTTCTAGGAGGAGCGCCGAAAAATTTGCGAGACACGTAGAAAGTAAGAGCCTTCCTCCATTTCCGCCCTTTACCGCCCCCCCCCCCTTTTCCTATACAACACTCAGTGTTCGCAACAGGAAAAAAAACTACAAAAAGAAGTGCTACACATTATGTTTGCTGCACTAATGTAGGCAGAGTATCTCTCTCTCCCCCCTCCCTCCCCCCCCATCTCTCTCTCTCTCTCTCTCTCTCTCTCTCTCTCTCTCTCTCTCTCTCGCTCGCTCTCACTCTCTGAATGCTCCTATACCAGCTTCCCCCCGGGGGCGCATGGCGTCGTGACTCTCCCCCAAGTTGAACGCGTTCGTAGGGGTAGGGGGTGGGGGGGGGCGGCTCTGGGGTGTGTGAACACCCCGTCAAAGGCGCCGCCGGCCGTGGCCGTGGTGAGGAGACTGTGTCCAATCATGAGAAGGAGAGGGGGGGGGGGCATTGTGATGCTGATTGGCTATGCGAGTCAAAGGGGGAGCCGTTGACCCTGGCCTACGCCAACGCTCCAGGGGGGCCGAGGCCGGTGCTCGGCGCTGCTAGCTCGACGCGGTAGTTAGTGAGACAGGTGGTGTGCTCAGGCGCTCCGAGTCCCGGGGGAGCCCTGGAGGCAGCGCGGAGCGGGGGCCGACCTCTGCCAATACACTACACAACGGCCCGGCCCCGTGTCAGTCCCCCCCATACGCCACGCCATGGCCACGCCACAGCCAGGCCACAGGCAGGCCACGGCCACAACACGGCCACGCCACGCCACCCCACGCCGCGCCGCGTCGTCGAGTTCACGGCGGGTTCAAATGCCACCGGGGTGCTGAGTGGCCCGCCATCGCTCCCGGGGGGGCCCAAGTCCACTCTGTGTGCGGCGGGGTGGGGCGGGGCGGGGCGGCCTCGGTACTCTGGGCACGTCGCGGGGGCAGCCCGACATGGATAACCACCACCTACTTCCCTCCGCAGCCTGCGTGCCCGAGCCGGGCCCCGAGGCTGTAATCGGGTACGCCCCCCCCCTCCTGCCTCCTCCAAGCCATCCCCCGACCACCCCGCCCCCTCCCCTCCACTGCATACTACTCCTGACCTCGGGATTGAATGCCACCAACCCCGTCCCTTCCAGCCCCCATCCAGATCCTAGTCCTTTCATAATACTGGTCCTTTCGAAAGGACCCGCCGAAATATTATTCGGAATTAATGAAGAACAACAGGAAAAGGCTCTGCCGGGGGGACAGTCCACCCCAACAGTGGCTGGACGGGTGGATGGTTGGATGGTACAAAAACACTGGCGGGGGAGAGTCGGGGCGTCTCACCTGGAAGTAGAGCACGATCTTGCAGAGGGCAGTGCCCATGAACCACGTCTCCGTCACGTCCCAGAGCACGGTGGGCGGCAGGCACATGAGGATGACGAGGAAGTCGGCCACGGCCAGGTTCACGATGAAGTAGTTGGTGACGGTGCGCATCGTGTGGTTGCGGTACACGGCCAGGCACACGAGCGCGTTGCCCACGAGGCCGCCGATGAACACGGCACAGTGCATGGCGATGATGACCCACTCCATCTTGGTGGGCATGATGTACTCGAGCATCATGTCGAGGTACTCCTCGTCCGGCACGCAGTAGTCGTTGGTGTAGTTGCGGCAGCTGTCGTTGAAGTAGGTGCCGTTCCAGCCGTCCGGGGCCGAGTCGTTGTCCAGCAGCGGGGGGCTCGTCACCGCCATCACCACGACGCCGATCTCCTCGACGAACGGCCTCTCCCTGGCCGACGGCGGCCGCGTCGTCGGCGGCGTCCGGGACGTGGCGTTAGAGGGCGGCTTCCTGTGCGGGGTGGGCGTGGTGAAGTGGTGGTGGTGGCCGGTGCGCGGGGTGCGCAGCGAGCCCCTCGATGCCGAGGCCGGGGTGCTGGGTGGCCCCGCCGCCGGCCTAAGCGCCGCCTCGTGCGGCGGCGACAGAGGCTCGACCGTCGCCGACGGGGAGGTGGCTGCCGGCCGAGGCAGGGTAGACGGTACGGTCCTCCACCGGGTGGAGGCCGTTGGCACCCCCGTGGTGGTCGATGGCAAGGTGAGCGAAGGCGCCGGGGCGGTCGAGACGCTGCTCGTGGACGATGCCAGAGGTCTCGGCGTCACCGAGGTTCTAAGCACCGTTCGATGCGGTGCCTGATGTGACGAGTTGACTGGCGCCTCCCACGTTGAGGGAGTCGTCGTAGTAGTCCTCGACGTCGGTGTCCATGCTGTTGCCAAGATCGTAGGAGACGGCCTATTTGTTGTCGTTGTGGTGGTGGTCGTCGACGTGGTCGAGGTTGGGCTTGTGCTCATGGTAGTATTAGCCTTCAATGTAGGCGGAGAGGGCGTCATGGACGTCAGCGCCGTGGTGGGAATCGGTCCGTAGCCGGGTATCGAGCCTTCTGTGGAGCCCGGGATGGCGGTGGAGGCCGGACTGCTTGTGGTAAAGCTCACGCTCGCGTTGGTGGTGGAGCTCACGCTCGTGTTGGTGGTGGAGCTCACGCTCGCGTTGGTGGAGCTAACGCTCGCGTTGGTGGTAGAGCTCACGCTCGTGTTGGTGGTGGAGCTCACGCTCGCGTTGGTGGTGACCGTCGGATACCGGTCGGAGCCGACGGGTGAGCTCGCTTTGGCGGTGGAGTTTGCGCTCATGTCAGAGGTCGAGGTCACGTTCGAGGTCGCGGCCGTGGTCGGCCCGACCGCCGACAGCGGGGTGACGTGCGGGTCCCGGGTCGTGGGCAGGTCGGCCACCCGCGCCGAGGAGCCGCCGGGGCCGAGGCCGTGCGCGAGGAGCAGCAGCATCACGGACCTCATCAAGACCACCGCCATGATCACCGCCGTCTCGCCGTCGTCGTGTCCCCGGCCATCTGCAACAACACCAAGCACACCGTCAGCAACAACACCAGGCTCGCCGTCAGCACGAAAACAATTTTACATCTTATTTTTTTCTATCAGTTTCCCATTTTGTCTCCACTTTATATGGCTGGTTTTTACAAGTGGAACCCCTCGCCCCCTCGCCGCCCTGTTCGACATGTTTCTGCCGCTGCGCCAAAAGTCGTAAAACGACAATGTCGAGGTCGGCGTGCGCCTCGGCGTGCGCGGCGCATGCGCCCGACAGGGCTGCTGCTGTCTCCGTCCTCCTGCTGCTGCTCTGCTGTGGGGTGCACCGGGCGCCTGCAGGAAGGCCCTGCAGGGGGGCGGTGTGCCGACGAGGCGAGAGAGGGTGAAAAACTTGATAAACACGTAGCAGGACGGGAGCGGGAGCAGGACTGCGGCACGGAAGCAACTGCGATAAGGCTGTAAACACGGCAAATAAGTCGACAAGATAGTATAAAACACCAAACCCACCGACCCAGAAGATGAACAATAAGTCGTCACATGCAGGTGATGACACATTTCTTCAACCAAATAATGTCACAAGACCCCCCCAAAAAATGTCGAGTCAAGCAGCGTTTTTTTTCTTGGGGCGAGTAGAGGTCATAAAGTTATTTGTTGAACTAGCCGGCCACGCCAATCTCGTATAGTAAAAAGTTTCGGTGACATGAAAAAGTTTTTTTTCTGTCTTTTTCGGGGCGAGGCTCGCTAGCTTGACCACGTTGTGTCCGAGGAGGCTGCTTTGCCCCCCTCCCCCCTTTCTCCTAGAACCCTCACCATCCAATTTTTTTTTATTAAAAATAAAAACACTTTATTCCTATGAGGGTAACACGCCGGTCGTCTACAGGGCGGTGGCGAAGTCTGGGCGTGTAATCTTATGCGGAACTGGGTTACTCCAGAGACCTTCTCACGAACTTTTTTTCGTGGTGCGAAACCCCCTCTGGACCCGCGATAACAGGAAGGGGGGGGGGGGCTGACTGACCCCGCCAAACAGCTGAGCGGGAGCCTCGAGGTACTATGCGTGGGACTGCCCTTCCCTTTTCATCGACGCCCTCAAATCAACTCTTTCAAAAACAAACAAACAAACAAAAATTGCGAGGGTATGCCGAAAAGTATTTATTACTACGCGTCTGCAGCGCGTGTGTTTCTCTGTCTCCGTTCGATGAACGGGGTGCAGCACCACCACCATCGTGCTCGTTTGGACTGCGTCCGAACGAACATTGCGACCGAGCAAAGTGCATCAGCAGAGTGGGCGCCGAGAATGGACCCTGCCGTTACGCCCCGTTTGGAGCCCGCCCACGCACGGCACCGGACCAAAACGGCCCGCAGCTCTCTCTCTTTCTCTCTCTCTCACACACACTCCTCTTCTGGTTTGCGAGGTGGGCATTCACACGCCAGAGGACCCACTGCACTGGTTAAATTCTTACAAAGCATTGCTTCGCAGGAGAGCATTTACTTAGCAATTACAAAGTGATACTTAGCCATTGCGAAGCAATGAAACACGCTGAAAATAAGCATCACTTGTTGTAGTTGCAAAGAAAATTCTTCGTAGTTAGTTACAAATAAGGGTCTAAATACTTGGCAGTTCTGCAAAGCATTATGCTAATCTAACAGTGTGTGCGACCGAATCAGTTAGGCGCCGCATTCATATTGATTCACGGCCCGGGCAGAAGCCCCGACCGCGCGGCGGGCTCCGCCGACTAATTTGGTAAAGTGACCCCCTCGCCCTGCACGCCCCTGCACGGCTGGCCCGCACACACACCGGCGCCTACCACCAGCGAGCAGCTGCAGAGATACACTCTCTTCTGCTCGCTCTTTTGGCAGCTTCAATGAATTACTGTACTAAAAAAAACACGGTAGTTATCGTTAGCGTTAGTTAACTACCATTTTGCAAATAGTCATGCAAAAAGACTAATAACTCTAAAAGTTCCTTTTTTTTTCTACAGACCATTTAATTTCTGAACAAATATCGTTTTTTAACTGTAAGGGTTGGAAGCCCTAGTAAATTTCTGGAATATTTCCGGGAAAAATGGAAAATCTCCAACCTAAGTTTTTCGTTCTTTTCCGGAAAATTTCCGGATTTTTTTTTAGAAATTTTCCGAAAAGCTTTGGAAAATTCCAACCCTATCAATTTAGTATACTTATCTATTTTTTGTTTCTTAGGAATCGTCCGAAAAGTAAATGCCCTTCGTTCGCCGTGTTACAAAACTGTCGAGTTCATCCCGTCCGAGCTCTCGGAGCGCCTGGTGGGTAGGCAACATCTCGCCTGAGATGCACGCGTGCACTGCGGGCTGGCCTACCCCAAACTTCGCAGGCGCCGTACCCCCGTCATTTAAAAGAAAAAGCCCGAGAGAAACGGACGTTATTTCTGGACGATTACATCGCGGCCTACGTGCGCGCTTCCGCTGGCCAGTAACAACTGGATCAACCCCCACTCCCCCTCCCGCCTATCTGCGACACACTGGCCGACTTGTAAAGCGCGTTCCGCGAACCGCGCCGCCACCGTGACTTGAGGAGTGTCAGAGGGCTTAGCTACACGGAGCGTGAGCGGGCCAGCGGCGCTCAAAACGTGGAGCACGGCCATGAGGTGGAGGAGAGAGAGGGAGAGAGGGAGAGAGAGGGAGGAGGTGGGAGGGATGGAGGGAGGGAGGGAGGGAGAGAGAGAGCACAGGCCAACTCTTGCCGGGCGCTTAGGGAGGTTTTGCCGAGATCCTTGCGCCCGCAATCACCCCCTCCCTTCTCAAGAGTCTCTCTCTCTCTCTCTCTCTCTCTCTCTCTCTCTCTCTCTCTCTCTCTCGTCTCCACCTCGGCGGCACGAGCAGTAACAGCCTTCAGCTCCTTTTGATCCCTACAGGTTCATCCCGATGAGTCGGCGCGCCGCCGGTCCCGGATGAGCCGACGCGACCAGCTCATCAACGGCGGATACACTTTCCTACACGACTCACCAAACATCCAGAATCAGTTGACATTGCATAATTATTCACAATTCGTGCAATCATGCATAAAATTTGTGCATAATTATTTCTAGCTGTAGAAAATTCTGCATGTTTATACACAATAAGATGCATAGCGTTTTTGTGTGTACAAGGATTTTAAGATCATTGTCTTTCCTATAAACAATAGTTTCAGACGTTTTCATGACAACCTTAGTAACACAAAACTGGCGCACATAGTGTAAACTTTTTTTCAATCGGCCAGTCATTCTGACGATAACGAAAATCCAAAAGTGATGACTCTTCCACAGTCAGACTTTTGTCGCTGGTCTATCACATTTAAACTATCTTTGACATTCTGTTGTATTTTTATCGTGTCCTGGTCGAATCCTCAATAGTGGTTTCATGCGGATCCATTGCGATATAGCTGGCCGATAAAGATCGTCGTTCTGAAGAAAAAAGATAGAATAGCGATTTCTCATTTCGTATATCGCACCGATAGTCCGCATCCTTTTTTTCTACTATTGTCTGTCTGACAGTCGTCCTAGGAAATGATTTCGAGCAGATCAGCGCCTTTCACATACACAATAGTTTCACACACTTTTGCAGCTGTTTTTCTTTCTACCATCAACACACCTAAAATGACAGATTCTCCTTCGCCCCCCAACCCTCCCCTACCCCTCTTCAGCACCAGAAGCAGCAGCTTTCCTGCTCTGGAGTCTCTCTAGAATAACACAACACCGCGGGAGGACAGCGGACGACACGAGTTGCACCTGTTCCGCTCGAGCCCAAGCCCTGCTCGTTTACTCTTCTCTCCCACAGGCGTTACAGTCCCCCCCCTCTCTCAATTCAAACACGATAAGCCGAGCGGACTTGTTTTAGGACCCCGGGGGTCGGCAGCCTTATCCTGCTCCGGGACGGCCGCCCCCGCCGCCACGGCCACACCTCGCACTACCCGGCCTCCTCGGAAACCTATTCGCCACCGCCATCCCGCGCGGATCAAGGAGGTGGGGATTTATGGGGTGCAGTAAAGTGCAGGAGGCTAAGCGAGGCAGACCAACGTCGCACGTGCGAGAGAGAGACAGAGAGAGAGAGAGAGAGAGAGAGAGAGAGAGAGAGAGAGAGAGA